AACACTCAAAGCTCAACTACCTAACTACTGAATAATTCCTGTTTCATTTAAGCAACTTTCAACTCAACCGTCCAACAAAGCACTCAATTCTTGATCCCTCTGTCTGCCCTCTTGGGCCAAGTAAATCCTATTCTCTGTAACTATACCTACTAAACTTTCTTCTTGCTAACTTTAACTGGTGACTTAAGTTGTTACTACTATTATTCTCCACCACTACCTTCTATCTATCCTATCCTATAGAGCCTACTCATGGCTCCCTACGGCCTATCCTCGGCCGACTGGAACTCGCACTCCCTGTAACCAATGCCACTCTACCACCCACCTCCCACAAAGGTGCCTTCTGCGGCCGTGCTCTATTACCAATGGGGAACCGAGTGCCCTGATTCCCCTCCCAAGACTATGAACGGAATTTGATGAGGATTGGTTACACCTTCCCTCCTTCAACCGGCTCCATAATCCAGCGAGAAAAGACCAGACCTTTTGTCTTATGGATCCCTGCCAGATGGTGTCTGTTTGCCCACGTATCCAAGAACCACTGTAGTTGTCTTCTACTACCTTTCCCAGCTTTTGCCCTCTTCCTCCAATCAACCTTGACTGCTTCCCTCAAACCCTGTCGTACCGCCCTCTTGATCTCCAAGTCTGAGAATGGTCTTTTCTCGAACCTTGTCCTATTTCTGTCTCTCCAGATGATTTCGCATAGCAACCCTCTTACCACCTGGGCAATCTATGCCCAGCCACGGTTGTTGCAGGTACCTTCTGGGAGGAAGCCAAATAAGACCCACTTTGTGACGCCCAACCTCACGCCCAGCGCGACTTCCTGATCGGAGTGGAGTGTGGGCCTGGAAGTGCGAAAAGGGGTGTGCCAAGGATTTTTGGRTGAAGTGGGGGAGTCTTAAGGATATGGATGCAATTAGGCGAACGAGGGGTGCGCATGGAGTGTGGGCCTGGAAGTGCGAAAAGGGGTGTGCCAAGGATTTTTGGGGGAAGTGGGGGAGTCTTAAGGATATGGATGCAATTAGGCGAACGAGGGGTGCGCACGCAAAGGTCTCACAGTCCAAAGGCTGTCTCTTATACACATCTAGATGTGTATAAGAGATATGGATGCAATTAGGCGAACGAGGGGTGCGCATGGAGTGTGGGCCTGGAAGTGCGAAAAGGGGTGTGCCAAGGATTTTTGGGGGAAGTGGGGGAGTCTTAAGGATATGGATGCAATTAGGCGAACGAGGGGTGCGCACGCAAAGGTCTCACAGTCCAAAGGGGCCGGGACACTGTGGCCAACGGGTTACGGGAAAATTCCTCCGTGGTGGGGATGGTCCCGGAAAGTTAGGCCGTCGGGGGCCGCCATGTAGCGCAGGCCGCCGCGCGCCTGGGTTGGGCCTTCGGAATTCCGGAGTTCTCTGCGCGCTGCTGTGTCGGCAGTTCACGCAAAACGTATTGGGCCAATAGGGGGCTATGGCCGGCCACGGAACGACACTGAGTTGATGACACGGGAGAAGGAGGCGGAAAGGAGGGAAAATGGTGGTGATCTCAACGAATCCCGGGTGGGTGAAGTGGTAGGTGTGGTCGGGGGAAGGGAAATCGGAGCACCGAGGGTCGCTAGTGGTGGCACAGTGGAGTTCCCGCGGACATAGCCGATTTTCCGTGTGACAGGGGTATCGTGTCCTTATGAGCTCGTTTATTATAGGGGTGAAATAGTCCGGGTCATAGGATGAGTCTGAGCCCCAAGATCGCGTCATGGTGTCATCGTGGGTGGGATAGCGCGGGTCGGAATATCGTCACCGTGCACGAGCACATGTCGGACACGCGAACTTATTTGCGGCCCGACGTGCTCGTGCGGGATGATGGTTCCGCCGCGAGTCCCGTCTGGGCGGGCGAATCAACGCACGGAATGCGTGTAAGGACGCGACTCGGATCGCGTTTACACGTGTTCTCGCACGGCGTTTACGGGGCCAGATTTCGGATCGCCGATCATGCAAGACGCAATCATAACACAATCCTCATCACGAAATAAGCAAAACGAGAGCACGCCCACTGTCGGGGCCAGATTCCTATCCCCTCTATAGTGACATCAGGCGCAGGCAAAGGTTCGACACAGACATAACGCAAGAAAAGGGATTCTCAGCAAAAAGATAGACAAGCAGTCCCATCATCTGTAGATCCAGACATTTGACAATCATGCACATAATGCAAACAGGACGAACATCGCGAGGGCGAATGTGAGCAAAAATCCAAGCCCCGATTTCAGAAAGCCGAAACGAAAATAAGAACGGGCAAACCGCCCGGAGCCGCAATCAAAATGAATATACACAGAGGCAGAGGGGGAAGAGACAAAGAAACAGCAAAACCGCATCCATCAACCTCAACTCTCTCTCTCTCTCTCTCTCTCTCTCTCTCTCTCTCTCTCTCTCTCTCTCTCTCTCTCTCTCTCTTCTTCTCTGCAACCAGCACTCCGTCACGCACCAACCCACGAAGTCGACACCCCGCTTAGTCCTCCCGCACCCGTCGGATTCGCCCGTACCCACAGTCCGCCATGGCCCACGTCAATCCCGCGCGTTCGGCACTAGCCCGTCGGGTCGCCCATCTCCTACTCTACTCACCTCTTACTTCGCTCGTGTGCCGACCCTTCCTGATTGCGCAACCCCGAGCTTCCAACAACGGGTTAAGAGAGCTGACTAATCGCACAACCGAAATTTATAGTGTGCATGCATGCGCGAAGAACACGGAATTACCAAGAGCCTACGTTCTGCATGGTCGGGCCGCGGCGTGGGGGACGTAGCCCTTCTCCACGCATCGGTCCGAGCATGCAAGCCGCGACTTATAGAATTTTCAGCAAGAGAATGAGAGGGAGAGTGAGAGAGATGGAGTGCAAGAAGAAAGATATAGTTACAATGGCGCCCGCCCAAAATTATAGTTACACTTACGATTAAGGGCGCCCACTGACTACCGTTGCAGCCGCATGAGGAAGCGCGTAGACAAAAGGCACCGCGCGGCAAAAAAAAAAGTCCTAATTACTAAATTCCTAAATGCGAAAAAGCAAAAAGCATAATTTTCAGAAGCAAAGTCCGAAATTCCGAGAGCCATCGAGGCCCGACAAAATTTGAAAAAGACTTCAAAAGAAAATTCAAAAGAACGAAGCAATTTCCCGTGCAATGTCCGCGCCCAAAAGATCGAACCCGAAACGAAAGAAACGACATCAAAATTTATTAATTGCGCGCGTGGTGGCGAGCCAGACATCCATCCGACCAATCAATCAACCGACCGTCCCAAGACACACCCAACTCTGAACCCAGTCATCCGACAAGAAGCGACGAAAAAGACAAAAAGCAAGGGTATTGACGCAATTTTCCACCGATCCCGATTTCCCGTAATTGGCCCAACCTTCCCAGCTCCAAACCCCTCGTTGCAACTGCGCAGAAAATTGCGCGTTACAGAAAGTGGTTCGTCACATATGTGACGCCCAAGGGGTTCCAATATTAGCAAGCTCCTGCTTGCTTGTTGACACGTGTCGATTTCTGTATTTAATCGACACGCGGAGCACTTCTCTTTATGCCACTTACCGTTCGATTGCATGTGGACGTCATCCAACGTGGCAACACTGCTCTTCTACTACTTCCTCATATTGGACTCTCGATGATCCGAGGACGGGATCTTTCTCGTGCCGTCGCCGCGACACGCGTCCATTACCGCTGCATCAGTAATTAACTACAAGGGGGAAGGGGAGTCAGTGCATGGCAGCATGGCAGGGCGGAGGGTTTATGGGTAATGGGGGCAGGAGACTTTCCATTCCGGCTACAGTCTCCGGGAGCTCTTGGTAATGAACAATGCGGTGAAAGCGGGGGAAGCGATTGCCGGTGTGAGGGAGGGACGCGAGATAAACGGGATGGAGGGTAGTGAGGGTCCTGAAAAGTGCTGCGTGGAAACGATCGCGATCATCGCATGCGGGGATGGTTCCTGTCACCACGCAGTAAACCTCGATCATGTTGTGGCCTCGCCACGCGGTACTAAGGAGCAGGACATGGAGGCAGAAGGCTGGGACGGCGCATCGAATGGAGGGGTGGGGGTGCACCACTATAGCGAGGCGAGCAGCGTAGAAGTGGCGGAAGGTGTCGCGGGGAAACGGATTGGAGGGGAACGTCATGGGGGTGGTGAGCTGGTGGAGGGTGAGGTAGTCAAGGGGACGACGAGAGAGTGATCGGGGACGAAGACCGATCGCCTGTATCAGTACGTCGACGAACTGAGAGACGGGTTGAGGAGGAGGGGGATCGGCTCCGTCGCCGCGCTGATGGGGTCGAAGTCGTGGCCGCGAGGTCGCCATCTTCAGGTCGGGGCGGCTCCGAGTCCCGGTTTGGGTCGTCGTTGGTGCGCAGACTCGCCGCGCTCGCGAATTCTAACTCCTTCCCAGCCGCGATCTTTTCTCTTTTGTGGGCCGCCTCGGGGTCCTCAGCCTCCGTGCCTGTACGCAGTGCCTCTTCCGGCAGAGCTTCCCACTCCGATCCAGCAGGCTCCTCTTCTCCTTCCTCGTCTTCTTCTTTTTCTTCGCTCTGTTCCCCCTCGCTATGCTTGCTATACCTTCCCTCTTCGAGGGGTTTTGTCTTCTTCCCCGAGTTCTTCGTCGCTATCCCCGCCTTCCTCCCGCACGTCTTCGTCTTCGTCACTCCCGGTACTTTCTTCTTCCTCCTCTTCTTCTCGAATGGCAGCAAGCTGCTCTATTGTAGGGTGCTTGAAGAAGGCAGGATCGCGAACCGTCCGGGGATCCAGATATTGTTGCTGCGACGGCGGAATGCGCTCTGCGGCTCCTTCTACGCAAGCTAACCACTGAAGATAAGGCGTCAACGTGCGAGAAAGTACGTGGGGAACTGGATGCTCGTCGTCTTGTGAGATGATGTCGAGAGGGAGATGGTCCGCCAGCTGTGCTACCGGGATCGTGAGCTCTTTCGTGATGAGATCCTAATAACCGGGTCGCACTGTACCGAATAGAAACGCGAGAAGCTCTCCCTCCACGTTGGTTCGCCCTGGATGAACAGCAACTCCAAGTGCTCTATGCAAGGCGGGTGCGCTTCGTCCTCGATCCACATCAGTCGTACTTCCACCAGACGCAGTGAAAGCTCAATGAAGTCTTCGCGCCACAGGACCCAATGAGGAGGATGGATATCGGGGATAGCGAGGGGGTTTAGACAGTAGGAGAGGCAAGGATGGATATCAGAGTGCGGGAAGGTAGGGAAGGTGGAGGGGAGATCAAAAACGGAGATTGGAGAGAGACTAATTGGGGACGTGGGAAGGGAACAAGGATAGGGATGTCTACTAGCGGCTCGCGCTGATACATCCGGAGGTTGTCGTCTTCGATTGTCCGTATCGTTGCGACTGTATCTCCGGGACGAGCTAGAAGTTGGGTCCACTCGGTGACCAGGTCGTTTGCCCATGAGCGCAACGACGCCTTCACCGCCAAATGCCGCAAAGGAAGAACTGTAGAGAGATCACCACTGAAGTTGACGACGACCGATATGCGACTGACACCTGTCACCGCCCGCTGATGAACTGCTACTGCCTCGGCCAGTACCACCGCGTCGGAACGGCCTTCAATCCTAAACACCACCGCTGCATACATGCCTTCCGTGCAAAAAAAGTGCGCAAGCCTCCGTGGGTCTGGGCTGAGGTGGGGATGGTGGACTTGCTGGATCGTCAATCGATCGCGGGGAGCAAGTGATGCTGCGCTGAGGGCTCTTTCCTCCAGAAAACTCATGACGATGGCGAAGGTGACGGGGAAGCAGATGGGGAGCAAGAGGAAGAGGGAGATGGTGGAGGGCTAGAGTCGTCGTTTTTGGCTTCCTCGAAGGGAGAGATCGAGGGAGAGGGAGACGGAGTAGAGGGGAGGGGGCGAAGATAGGACACGTGGCGCGTGATTGGACGAGCCGATCGACTACCAGAGACTTCAGGGGCGAGACGCACGGTGTCCACGCCTTTGGGGCCGAGCTCGATCACGCGATATTGCCTAAAGAATCGTGGCGCTAGCTTACCCTGGCGAGCACATTTCCTCACCTGCACCACGTCCCCCAATTTGTACTGGGGCCGCGGACCCGCATTCCCATTTCGGGCCTCCTAGCTCTGGATCTGTCAGCCTTGGGCTAGTTCGGTCACTTTCTGTCGTTTTCGGGCTAGCCTGGGCAGTGATCGTTCCATTAGCTCTAGGTGTCGTTTGGCCTTTTCCCTAGCCGTGGCCCTGGTGGGCTGTCGGCTCAATGTAGACTCATCCGGGAGGCTTGGTATGGAAACGCAAGCGACGCAATTGGTCCTTAATTGGAAGGGGCTTAGCTTCGTCGATTCGTGGGGCGTTCCGCGATGGACCGCCTGGATGTGATCGACGATATCGGGCCAGGGCCTCGGATCCCGTGCCGCGATGTTTCGTCGTAATGTTGTATTATCACCCAGTTAGCATTTTCGACCAGCCCATTGGATTGTGACATGTGGGGTGCAGTGTTCCGTATGGTGATGCCATGTATGACCAGATTGCTTAGCACTTCTCCCCTGAATTCAGCCCCATTGTCCGTCAGGATCTCTTCCGTATCCTGATGCATCCCGAGGAAACGGTTGACATATCGTGCGATCTTTATGGCTTGTCGTGTGCGACAGGGGTACGCCTCGATCCATTTCGAGAAATGGTCGACAAATACCAATAGGACTGAATATTCGCAGCTATTAGGACCAAGAGGCACCACTATGTTGGTAGTGTCCATGCTCAGTCTTTGAAACGGTCGTTCAACTACCGTGGGCACTATCGACCTTGAGGGCTGAATCGGCGCTTTATCAGTGGCGCAGACTTGACATTTGGAGAACGATGTATTTCACATCGTCGCGGATATAGGACCAGTACCACTCGTTTTTGTCGATATGGACTCCGTGATTTGTACGGCAAAATGGGCCGCCTTATCCTCGTGGGCTATCTTAACCAAGTCATATCGTATGAACGGATGCGGTACCACCATCCAAATCCCACTGCCGTCCGTTTTCCATTTTTTCAGTCTACCTTCTACCCATCGATAATCCCGAGCCCTTTCGTTGACCCTCCTTCGATCTTCCTTGGTGAAATCCTGGAGGGGGTTACCTACTAGGGTGGCAATTAAGGCAATATCAGTCCATACTTCGGCCCTTCTAAATTTCCGGGTCTTTTCTAACCCTTCTGACGTGGCATCCAAAAAGCAAGCCTCGGTCGGAATCTTGTCGGTCCGGCACAAGAGGCACAACCACGGTTTACTATCGTTTCTATATTGGATGCACGAGTCGTGTGCTTGTGCAACGCACTGTCGGCAATCTATCCAATCAACATACCCTTCCCCGTTAGGACGCATGGAGACCGAGAATACGCGGGAGATAGCCTCGCAAAAATAGCAAAATTTGTCAGGCAGGGAGAGGAGAGACGAGAAGGAAAGGGGAGAGAGGGGGGTAGTGGGGTTACCTTCGTCACCCATCGCCACCATCTTACCGCTTGTCACGTGGGAGGACTGCCACTTGTCCGTATTTAGGCTCGTTGGTCAGGTTCGACTCTTTCCACGGTGTAATTTCTTCACCCTTTGGTACCTTGGCGGGTCGGTGTATACGTGTCAACCCGTCCGCGTTGTCGTGTCGCTCTGTCTTTCGATGGACGATATCGAAGTCGTATTCTTGCAGTCGCACCGCCCAATGGCCAATCATGCCCGTGTAGTTGGTGAGCTTCTTCAAAACTAGCAGAGGCTCGTGATCCGTCACGAGGCGAAACTTCTGTCCGTAGAGATACGGATGGAAGTGTTGGATTCCCCAGACCACTGCATAGCATTCGCCTTGAGGTGCTGAGTCATTCTTCCGTTCGTCCGGTATGGTGCGCGACGCGTACTCGATGACGTGCTCTCGACCATCGTTCCCCTTCTGCGCTAGAATAGCGGAAATAGCTTCCAGTTGCCAGTCGGTGATAAGAATGAACTGCTTCGAGGGGTCCGACCGAATTAAAATAGGGGTCGTCGCCAGAGCGTCTTTGAGGGTTGCAAAGGCCTGCTGGCACTCCGCATCCCAGCTGAGAGGCTGGTCCTTTCGTAACAGATTCATTAGTGGTCGTGCAATCGCAGCAAAACCCTTGATGAAGCGCCGGTAGTACGACGCCAGCCCCAAGAAGGCTCGAACCTGCGTCAGCGACGTGGGTACCGGGGCTTCTTTCACCACCGTAACTTTTCTCGAGTCTGGCCGCAATCCTCCACGTGTCACGACGTAGCCCAAGAACAAAATTTCCGAGAGGAAAAATTCGCTCTTCTCAAGCACGATCTTGAACCCAGCGTCTCTCAACACGCCCAATGTCCACTCGATGTGTTGCGCGTGCCCGTGATAGGTCTCCGAATAGACCAGGATATCGTCCATGTACACGATCACACAAAAGTTAATCATCCCTTGCGTCAGCCGTGTCTTGTTGACAAAATTCTAGAACGTCATGTTCATTGCCCACTGAAACGTGGCAGGCGCATTGCAAATCCCCATCGGACACCGAACCCACTGCCACGTGCCTTCAAACAACACAAAGACCGTTTTCGGCCGATCTTCTTCCCTTACCAGAATATGATGGGAGTCATGCCGAATATCAAACTTGCTGAAATAATTAGCGCATCCAATCGCATCCAACAAATCATCAATCCGGGGGAGGGGATACACATCTTTGATCGTGATCTCATTCAGCTTACGATAATCAATGCAAATGCGAATCGCTCTGTTTTTCTTTGGTACTAACACCACGGGAAAGGACCAGGGTCCGGTAGCGGGTTCGATCCATCCGCTGGCTTCGAACTCCCGAATTCGTTCGAGAGTTTTTTTGTGTTCAATCAAGGAGTACCGATAAGGCTTGCAATAAATCGGGGAGTGATTTCCCGTATGAATTTCATGTTGGATTACTAATGACAACCCGATGTTTGTGTCTGACACGCTAATCGCTCCTTGGTATTCGGTTAGAATATCCGCAATTACCCGGTGGATTTCATCTGGCACGTACTGTGGGACGTGCAGTTCAAAAAGTTGGTCCCAGATCCAAACATCAATCTGTTTCGTGCTCGCCCGTTTTGTCACATCGGGCGGGGGCGCCGAGATGAATGAATGGTCCGATCGCCAGGAGAACACTGTGGCCATCATCTGGGCATCTTCTTCCCGGATTGGAACGTGTCCTTCCGGGGTAATCCAGTCACAAACATCCCGCCATGGGACTTCCTTAGTTGCGATCTTTATCCCCAGCCCGTCTGTTTCTGCTTCGAAACACCCAGGGGGTTCCAGAGAGTTGCTTCCGCCCCGAAGCGTAACAATCTCACTTCTTTCGCAGATGTCAATAAGGACTTCGGTAAATCCGTAATGTCACAGTAGTGCTTTTTGTCGTTATACCGGGCGAGGAGAGGGGTGATTCCTTTGTACAGAGTCTGAGGGGGTTCCAAAGAATCGACCATCCTTGAGATCTGCACGAGGGGCTCACCCAGGATCATCGCCTTGGTCCTTTGAGTTTTTCGACTGGTCAGTTGCATCGTTCTAGCTATCGTTTTGGGTGGTGGGTATTAAACGCGCTGTCGTGCTAACTTCAAAATTTCCGGATCATCTTCATCACTACTGTCCGCATCATTCGTCGATGACTCTCCATCTGCGGATTCATCCCAGGAGATCATGCGGAGAGTCCCTACCATCATCGCCGAGACTCATGGGACCGCATTACTGGTAGTACGAAGGGTCAATCGCATGGGCACATCGTAAGGTTTTCCTCCTGTATTTCGCAGGATAATCGATCTTCGTTCAAAATCCAGGTTTGCTCGTAGAGCTACAAGAGCGGGAAGTCCGAAAAGAACATCGTACGTATTAACATCTAGTACTACGACATCTCCAAGCACGTGCACTTTTCCTAATCAGAAAGAGACATTGGTCATTCTTCCCACCGTCTTGATCTTTTCTTCATCTGCCGAAACGAGTTGATCTTTCTCAGTGAGCACGATCAGATCGTTTTCCTACCGGCCCCTTCGACCACTCTCAGTGAAATAGCCAGCACTGCTGCTCCCGAATCTATTATTGCGTCAAAAGGAATTCCCCAAATTTCGATATTGCATTCTGCGGATTTCCATGGAATTGGTTTAATCTGTAGGAAATGGTTGTCTTTCTGAATTAAACCTACCCGTATTGGATCCGAAGTGCCTGTCGGGTTTTCTTCGAGCGTGGGGCTTGAGGGCGAATCGCTTTCGGTTTGCCTTGCAATGTTGTAGCATTCGCTCATCGGCTTGCTCAGAGATCGAGAGTCGATGACCAATCGGAAGTGGAATCCGATGGTCCAAGGCTCGGACGATGTTTAATACATCGATTTCCCCTGTGACGAAGGTGGGTCCTCCCGACTCCATTTCTCCTAGGGACGGTCGCCACTCCGCCACCTCTTTTGGTTTTGCGTTGGTCTTATTGATCCGATCATTCCAATCCCCGGATATCCGAGCGATACGTACTGATCTAGCGGGATTAGCTCGGCGGCTTCTTCCGTGGTGGCCATGGCGCTTCCTCCACCCTCTACTTCTTCCATCAAAGCTCCGACTCGTCCAGGTCCGTTGGCGATGGGAGCCGCAGCCATAGGTGCGACTCCGATCCGTTGTTGTGGGGGTCGATGGGGGCAGTCTCGGGTCAAATGCCCTGGCTGATGGCAGGCATAACAGACATTTAGATTATTGGCGACTCCTCCGAGGGCAGGTGCAGGGGTTAATCCTTGCTGTATCGGAGGAGCACGTACCGCAATGGGCCGCATGTTCCTCATCATGGCTTCCAGCCGAGCATTGTACTCTCGCTGCTCCTTCTTGCTTTTCTGGATCAAAGTAATCAAGGTTTTGGTTAGTGCGAAAATGGCCGCTGATTTGTTCGTTCGTGCGGGGGCCTCAACTAGTGGCGGGGGTAACGCCCTTGCGGGTGGAGGCATTACGGGAGCGGAAGTGCTTGGAACCTCACTTAGGACCACTCGCTTGGGGCCTATCTGCTCCATATAGGTAACAGATCCTGATACAGACCCCATGTTTTCGAACTTGTTCTGCAAAGCAACTAACTTAGCTTTCGCTCGTGCGAGTTCGGTCAAATCTCCCTCTCTAGGATAGTCTTCCCCTTCCAGGAAGTTCGCCAGGAACTTTCGTTCCATTTCTTCCGCGACAGCCATGATTTGCTGTAGCATGTGAGTGATGGGGGAAAATTGCTTTCGTAACTTAGCCCTTATTGTTCGGCTGCGAAGACTGTCAATGAACAGGTCTCTCCCTACTTGTTCACCTCGCTCAGTTTTTACGAATATTCGGTTGAACCGGTTCCGATATTCTGCAACGGATTCGAGAGTTTTTGCACTCGGTCCTTGATCATATACAGTGCTTGCTCGGGGTGAACGTAGTCAAATTCGTTCATGAAATCCCGCTCAAAGGTCGGGAGATCAACCCACACATAGGCACTAAACCAATGATGAGCGTCTCCCCCTAATCGGGCGGGAATGTTGATCTGCGCTTCATGGTCAGTGTACTGTTGGGCTCTAAGTGTGGCCAGCCATGCTCCTGCGAGATGGTGTGCTGGATCAAATAGATAGAGATCTGGTGGCATCATGGGAGCTCGTGCATGTGGGGCGGGTTGATTTAGTGGATTAGCATTATGTTGTGGGACCGGGTTTGGCACATTGGCAGCCATATTGGCTGCTCGTCGGTTAGTCGATCTGCTTCGGGTGACGATAGGGTCGTGTTTATGCGTGTTCCGAGGGCGAGGTCGCCCACGGTTAGCCAAGTCGCCTAGTTAACAAGCTATCAATCCTAAGACCCTAGCCACATGTCGGGCTCCGATACCAACCTCACGCCCAGCGCGACTTCTAGATCAGAGTGGAGTGTGGGCCTGGAAGTGTGAAAAGGGGTGTGCCAAGGATTTTTGGGGGAAGTGGGGGAGTCTTAAGGNAAAAGGGGTGTGCCAAGGATTTTTGGGGGAAGTGGGGGAGTCTTAAGGATATGGATGCAATTAGGCGAACGAGGGGTGCGCACGCAAAGGTCTCATAGTCCAAAGGGGCCGGGACAGTGTGGGCGATGGGTTACGGGAAAATTCCTCTGTGGTGGGGATGGTCTCAGAAAGTTAGTCCGTCGGGGGCCGCCATGTGGCGCAGGCCGCCGCGCGCCTGGGTTGGGCCTTCGGAATTCCAGAGTTCTCTGCGCACTGCTGTGTCGGCAGTTTACGCAAAACGTATTGGGCCAATAGGGGGCTATGGCCGGCTATGGAACGACACTGAGTTGATGATATGGGAGAAGGAGGCGGAAAGGAGGGAAACTGGTGGTGATCTCAACGAATCCCAGGTGGGTGAAGTAGTAGGTGTGGTCGGGGGAAGGGAAATCGGAGCACCGAGGGTCGCTAGTGGTGGCACAGTGGAATTCCCGCGGACATAGTCGATTTTTCGTGTGACAGGGGTATTGTGTCCTTATGAGCTTGTTTATTATAGGGGTGAAATAGTCCGGGTCATAGGATGAGTCTGAGCCCCAAGATCGCGTCATGGTGTCATCGTGGGTGCGATAGCGTGGGTCGGAATATCATCACCACGCACGAGCACGTGTCGGACAGGCGAACTTAGTTGCGTCCCGACGTGCTCGTGCGGGATGATGGTTCCGCCGTGAGTCCCGTCTGGGCGGGCGAATCGACGCACGGGAATGCGTGTAAGGGCGCGACTCGGATCGCGTTTACACGTCTTCTCGCACGGCGTTTACGGGGCCAGATTTCGGATCGCCGATCATGCAAGATGCAATCATAACACAATCCTCATCACGGAATAAGCAAAACGAGAGCACACCCACTGTCGGGGCCAGATTCCTATCCCCTCTATAGTGACATCAGGCGCAGGCAAAGGTTCGACACAGACATAACACAAGAACAGGGATTCTCAACAAAAAGATAGACAAGCAGTCCCATCATCTGTACATCCAGACATTTGATAATCATGCACATAATGCAAACAGGACGAACATCGCGAGGGAGAATGTGAGCAAAAATCCAAGCCCCGATTTCAGAAAGCCGAAACGAAAATAAGAACAGGCAAACTGCCCGGAGCCGCAATCAAAATGTATATACACAGTGGCAGAGGGGGAAGAG